CAATAATAGTTCTAGAACATTGTTGTACAATACTGACCATCACGGATGATCACTTGTGTAATACCAGGTTCACCCAGCCTTTGCATTTCCACTGCATGCTGCATAGTCTTGATTGCAGTTAGCATAAAGATGAAGATGTCATATCCCAATATCAAAAACACAATGGCAAGTTGTTCTAAAAATGACTAACAATTGGGAAATCATGGCAGATGTATTGTTTGGTTCACACCTCTAGAAGATTGGAAATGAAGTATTTGTAGATGACCTGGTCAACAGGTACTTACTGAGTGAATTCATTCACATTACTAGCTGTTCCACCACACCTTGAGAATTCTTGGTATTGAGATCCAATTGTTGAGATGCTTTTTTTTACTACCATACTCTATATGCATATGAGTCAGAATGGGTTTCCAATTTTCTAATCCTTTCAACCCCAGTGACAATATCACTTACCAATATATCAAGCCCAAACTTCGAAATAATGAATACAAGAGTTATCCCAAGGATCACTTTATTTTTGTTGTATATTGCATAGACTCTCAAAGCAAAAAGAGCTGTTTACAGATAAAGACAGATCGGTGATATCAGACAAACTGCTTACCATTGGTTGCGATCAAAGCTATAGTTTCACAAACAAGAGCCATTGTAGTTTCTGCTTGGCACCTATGGTTATGTCAACTTGAATGAGAGTTATTGTCAGAAATTTGACACTTACTGCTTATCTGTTCCATTTCCAGGAAGATTGAATACAGCTTGCAACACTAGAAACAAGAAAAACATGTATCTATTAATCAGGAACAATACTGAGGTTCCAGTCATTTTTCTCTTCCATATTGATCTGAATTCTGTGGGCAATGTCTCGATGTGGTCTGCAATCCACAGTGCTGAATACAAATATAGTCAAAGAAAAATAGCAAAACTTGAGAAAAAAAAATTGCTGACTGGAAGCTGCAGTAGCTGCATAGTTCCCCAGTATCCTAAATTCAAGGAATGGAGATTTAAATCAGACAATAGTGACAATGGAACACAGAGTAAACTTTATTCACCAGGTTTCAGCCTGTGGGATTATGTCATCCATTGTGACAAACTTGAGGACACCAAATAGATGGTACACGAATTAAATTTATGGGGAAGGACAGAGAGTTATGATCAATTCACAGTGTACCTGTAATATTGAGTGTAGAGGTATAGGTTGTCGTCTCACCCTCGAATATGCTGTCTAAGTAGTCAAGATAAAGAAGCAGTAGATTCTGAATGTCTCTACTGAATGGAAACAGTAACTGAGATATACTGAATCTGATGTGATTTATAAGGGGATGGAAAGTGCCAGAAAATACTGTGAGTTGATTTTGCTTCCACGAGTTCACCTCAGTTCCAGTGAATCAATTGAGCTGTGAGGAAGTCCGAGATGAATTCCAATGACAATCCCATTCTATATTGACACAAACATGGTTATGGTGACTGTGACATGCAGATTTATCTCCCGTTCTCGAATCCGCACTGTTGGTTTCAATGACCACTTTCAAATAGAAGTTGAATCCTTTAATTGTTGTGATGCAGATACACTCCTAAACAGCTGTCAAGTCCCCCAATTGTTTATATAAGGCTGGCACTAAAAATCAACTGAGATGACATTGCAGGTTGCAGTTTTAGGTACTTCTATTGAGTTGAGGCAGCAGGTGAGGTTCAAAATCCCGAGGCTTGGATGAGAGACAGGAGATGCTTGATACATGCAATCTCAAGTCCAACTCCCTGCAAACACAGATGATCAAAGATTTTGGTGAAAGGCATTGTCCGAAGGCATTACGTGTGCGAACATGGGTGGAAGCCTTGTAAGAAGTTCATAGCGTCATTCAACAGTCGACTGTTGAATAGGGAAATATAAATGACCACAACTCCATGTATTAATTCATAGGATCATCCCCTTCTTCCTCACCACCTTCGCCAGTTCATTCTGCCCCTATTTGACGTATTGCTTGCGTACCGCAGACTTGAATGATTCAGTTAATTTTCTCCTTCTGTTTCTTCTTTGTGCCATAAGGGACACTCAAAATGCCCACAACTCGGTGACTATGTCTCTACCTATTGGTTCAAATGTACCATCATCCCCCTCTTCCTCCTTCTCCTCGCCGTCCTTCCCTTCCCTTCCTCTTCGAGATTCAAACAACCCGACTTCCCTCTCTCTCTTTTTCGTACCCATCACAGAACCACCAAGCCCCCTCTCCAGCTCCAACTCCATATTCATCGCAGGCTCTTTTTTGATTTTCCTATTCACCTCGGCGTCGAAGAGCTACACAAGCGAGTAAAGAGGGGAGAAAAGGATCAGTAAGGGGAAACAGAAAAGGACGAAAAGAACAATGTGAAGAACGGGATAGGAAAGGATGAATATTAAATGGAATCGAATTCGCAAGGCCAGTTGAGAAAATTGTTTAGAAATTGGAGAATATAAAAGAACAGATAATTTCATCGATGTTGAAGGAACACACAGAAAGGAGAACTCACACTAGCATACCCATGATCCAGAAAATCCTCCATCGCATATTCCCCTCTCGTGAATACGCCTTCAAAGACTTTTGCCATGCTGGCCACTGGGGCATGATAATGTGCTGTGTGGGCGTGCAGCTCGAAGAGGGAGGAAGAAAGAGCGTTGGTTAAGAGGGGGTTGTCGTGTGAAGGGAGGAAGGGGTCTAGGGAAATCGGTGAGAAGGGGGATGAGAGGGGAAATAGAGAGAGGAAGACAGTATAGCATCAGCGAAGATATTTTATACGCACAAGAAAATAAAGAGACTAACCTTCATACACCCCCTGCCCGTCCCACTCCCGGTGTATCATCCCCATCAACCCCGGGTGTCTCCTGATTAAATTCCACACAAAGGGTATCACGATGACTATCGCTGATGGCGGTGCGGAGAGGGAGAGGATGGAGAGACGCTTGATGAACGAGGCAAGGAGGGTTAAAGGGAGGTGACTGGATGATCGATCAATCGATCCAAGAGAGATTGTTTAGAACGGTAAGACCAGAATGGAGGGAACATTAAGGAAACTCCGTAACTTACGTGGAGCCTAAAAACACCTCTGCGAGCCTGAAAAACCTTGCGCGATGTTTGAGGTGAAGGAGGTCTCGGTCGAGAAAAGCGTAGAGACGGGTATAGAATGATGGGTAGTCGCTGTTCGAAAGGGTTGCGGGTGGGTAAGATTCAAAGTAAAACAAACGGAGAACAAGGAACTCACAGATTATATTCTGTCATAAGTACATACAACGCGTTGAGAGCAAGGAGACCTGGTGTTCCGCCTGGAGGTAGGGAAGGGTGAGAAGAGAGTAGACGAGACCGTTCGAAGATAGAAAAAATATCAAAAAGAAATTTATATCTTATTTGGGGCGAGACGCGTAAATAGTGAGGGAGTCACGAAGAGAAGGAACTAATATCAGACGGACGAACATACGGGCGAGCCGAGGAATATACGAAATTTCTGGGCAAAACCAGTAAAAACCCCACTCACCATAATCAACACAGGCCCCAATCCAATCCATAACCAACACCGGTCTAGTCAAATACGGAAGCACACCGCGGTGCATAACGTTCAACGCACGCACAGCCAGTTCCAGATCTTTGATATCCTCTACGTCTTCGGCGTCGACGTCATTATTGTTAGAGGAATACCCGGAAAGCCTGGATAACAGCGCCAACCAGGCATGGGTAAACACCGCACGATGCGAAGGTGTATTATGGAGGGATTGGTGGAGAGTTAGAGTGTGTTTGCGGCCTTTACTTCGTTCTCCTAGGTTATCCTTCTTCGTGTTAGATCCTCCGTTGGTATTCTGCTCGTCGAAAAACTTTCTCCAATCGTCTTCTTCGTCGTCTTCTTTCTCGATTTTGTCATCCTCTTCGTCGTGGTCGTCGAGGTGGAGTTCAGCGCCCTTGCCTTTTTTAAGCTTTGGCGGCTTCTTTCCCATCTCCTCGACCCACCACTGGCCTTTCTTGGCCTCGTTGTCTTCCTTTCCATCCTTGGCTGGTTTTTCCGAAGACGACGTGGAGGTAAGGAAAAAAGATGCTGACGAAGAGCCAGCGAGTCTCTCCAGAATCAAAAGTGTATTGGTCGGCGCGGCAGGATGAGGTTGTTGTTCTTTTTTGGAGAGAAGAGTCCTGTTGAATAGATTAGATCGGGTTGAAGACGAAATGACAAAAACCTCACCCAATTTCTCGTAGAAAGAACCACCGCACATCATCGTAAACACAGAGCCATTGATCACAAAACAAGTCGAGCACATCAGCGTCAATGAGCCCGTCCTTCTTATTTTCCTTTTCCGTTGTTCGATGTGATGGAGGACAGGCCACCAACGCAATGACGATTTTGCGAAAATGTGATATATGGAATTGCGGATCGCCTTTGATGGAAACAGACGTAGATAAATGTTTTTGTAGTGAAAATAGAATCTGCAGTGATGATGTCTACGAGAACGGTTAGTTGGATTATAAACTTGAAGCATTCAACTCACCCTCAACACTTTCTCCTCATCCTTCAGCAACCCACATAACAATTCCACACAGTCGTTCAATCGTGTCCAGAGCCACGCTTTCACAACCTTTACATTCTCATCCTCGCTTTTTTTTCCCCTCATTTTTCCACTACCAATAACCACAACCCAAACTCTATACAATGCCCATATCGCTTTCGACGTATCCACTGCGCTGATCCCAGCATCCGAGGCGACGGTGTAAAGGTCTACAAGGGGGTTGAGGGTCGTTGTCGAATTGGAATTGGAATCAGGTAAAACTGCGCTCGTTAGCTGACTCTCGAGAGCAGCAATAGTTTGACATGCTATGCTTTTAGTAGCCGATAACTTTCTCTTCTTCGACGGACGTTCCGTAGATTCAGAAGGTAACGAGCGGATAGGCATCCCCTTTGGTGGTCGAAGGTGAAGCTGCAACGCTAAAGTTTTTCGAGCTCGTTGACCCAACACCAGACTAATCTAGGCACGGAGGATTTTGATTTTGTGAGGGCACATGGTGTAGTTGGTTATCACATCCGCTTAGCAATGACTTTTAAGTTACAACACTTTGTAATGCGGGGGGTGCTGGGTTCAATTCCCAGTGTGTCCAGTACAATGTTACTCAGTCAGTGGTAGTGTCATTTTTACTAAAGGTTTTGGTTGGGAAGATCCTTCCCAAAGGTTCTTAAATCAGCCACAGAGTTGTTTATTTTATTCTATTTTACCAGAAGTGCAATAGTTTGGAATGGGACAGGAGATGCAGTCTTCATTTGCTTACTTAAAATACCATAGATAGATAGATATGCAGCTTCATCTAAAACAGGCTCCCACAGGGGATCAGCCTGGCCCAACCATCTCAACTGCAGCAAATGCTCATCCAAAAAGACATGGTAGACTGCACTGAGAGTGGAGGGGGTAAAGTACATGTTACAGTACATCAAACATTGTAGTACTGTAGGGACAACTCCTACCTCATCAGAGTCTTCACTTTCAGTCTCCACAACATCTTCTAGGTGTAAATCAGAATAGCCAACCAATCATATGTCGAGGACAAACAGCCTTCGTTTGCATTCCAGGTCGCCACATTTATGTAGATTTGGAGGTTGAGCAAACTGCTTTTAAAGAGTATTCCTGCATCCCGAGTGCTACTAGCGGTGACATAGAGCGTCACATATAGCGGGAACTCTCTACCCTCGGCGTTTTTTCCGGACATGATCATTACTCTTGAGCATAGCAATTTCTTCGATACCCGCATGAGCGGCAGCGTCTTCCCGCCCCCATTTCCGCTTGCCCCTTGCCCCTTTGCTACCCTGTCTCCGACTTTCCTCTCTAAGTTCATTCGCTGCCATACGGCCCGCATCATCAACGGTCTCGTGCATAGTCATCACAGCCTCTTTGTCTGTTGGCCATTCTTCCAACTTCTTTCCGAGAACAGTCTCTAGCCGTTGTAAGAGCTCAATATCATACTGTGTGGTGAAGGTAATGGATTTGCCGGCTCTGCCAGCGCGCGCAGTTCGACCCACTCGATGAATGTAGTCTTTGGAGTTCAAGGGCATGTCAAAGTTGATAACCATGTCGACAAGAGGTATGTCAAGACCACTAAATGGAGGACGATCCAAAAATGATTCAGAATTGTATTCCGAATGGCATTCGAGCGCTTACCGGCTAGCAACATCAGTCGCTACCAGAATTTTTCTTTCGCCACTCTTGAACTTGTTCAAAGCGCCCGTTCGTTGAGTCTGGGACAAATCTCCGTAGATAGGAACGACTGCAAACCCTAAGATCCGCAGCACGATGTTCAGCCTGAAAGGTTGATGTTTCGTCATCATTCGTACAAGAGAATAACCGACTTACCTCTGCGCCGAGGAAACATTCCGGACGAAGATAATCATCGAATTCTGGACGAGCGAATTGACTATGTATGCCAGAAGGACTTCCTTGTGTTTGAAGGGGTAGAACACATAATACTGCATGAGGGTATCCACAGTGTGATTTCTGTTCCAATGTGAGAACACTTGGATTGAAATTAAGCCGAAGGCACACACGCTGCGGAGGACTCTACGCGAACAGGATCCGTTAGGCTAGCTCTTTGCAGTTTCGAGACCTTTGTTGTCATTGTTGCCGAAAAGAGATACGTAGTGCGTTCCCTTGGTATAGCTTTCAAAACTGCATCTATGTGTACACCAAAGTCCAAGTCCAATAATCGGTCGGCTTCGTCAAGGACCTACGGCGAATTCAACCATCAGACATAACGACTATGAGGCTCAAGAACATACCAAGAATTTGAGCTGCCTCAAACTGAACCCCTTCGTAGCTTTGAGATGGTCAGCCAGTCTACCTGGAGTCGCAATCAAAATATGCGGTTTCTTCGCTAAGGTAACGGCTTGAGTGACTCTGTCCACTTCTCCACCAATTATCACTGCACATCGTACACCGATTCCAGCACCGAGAGCCTCAAATTGAGCAGAGATTTGATAGGCTAGTTCGTGAGTCGGAGCGAGCACACACGCGAAAAGGCCTTGGGGAGCATCCCAGAGCTTCTGAAGGATCGGAATGGCAAAGGCGGCTGTTTTGCCGCTACCTGTTGGAGCGAGCCCAATGATGTCTTTACCTGAAAGCGCTGGAGTGATGCAGCCCAGCTGAATTGGTGTTGGCGTAGTATATCCGAGGCTTTTGATGGCTTTCAATAAATGTTCGTTCAACCCTAGGTCGTCGAAAGACATCGAAGTTCGAGTCAGTGTAACGGCTTACGACATATTCGTAAGTGGGGCGCTTATTCCCGCTACCTTTAGGCACCACAAAACGAAACGAAGGTCAAATTGACATCAAGGTAATGATGTTACAGCCCTTTCCGTAACCATATGGAATTTGATTTTTTGAAAACCTGTGAGGTTGTGTTTGGCAAGATCACATGTCAAGTTTTCACCCTCAGTTTACTTGCATGTACTATGCGTCGATTCTCTGAAGATATGCGGGTTCGGGTACCAGTAATGTTTTGGGAACAGGAGGTTTCAGTGAAGAATATCTGCTACCACCTCGGGATGAAGAAATCTGTTGTTTATCATATCCTTGCGCAGTATTGGGACCATGGACGACTTCAACCTGCCTTGCATCGACAGGGCCGACCCTCTCTTTTGAATGACACTGATACTCACTATCTCTCTGCTCTCATTGATCTCCGACCTTGCATCTACTTGGATGAAATACAAGCAGAGCTAGAAAGATGTTGCCGAGTTCATGTATCAGTGCAAGCAATTGTACGCACACTTCGAAAATTAGACCTATCTCGGAAGACTGTCTCTGTACGGGCACTCGAGCGCAATGACCTTGAGCAGGCACATTTCATGCTGCAGATAGCTAAGCTGGTGCCACGACCAGACATGCTCATGTTCATTGATGAGGCTGCTCCTAATGCCAAGACATCTCTTCGGAAGTATGGGCGTGCAAAACGAGGTCATCGCTGTGTGCAACGAAGGCAATTTGTCCGCGGAGAACGTGTGTCTATACTGCCAGCAATAACTCTTGATGGCATTGTTGCCTATGATGTTATTCCTGGTTCGGTGACATCTCTGAAGTTTCTGAAGTTTTTGGAACGCCATGTTGTGTGTCAAATATATTTATCTAGTCTTTGTTATGCTCACATTTGAATAGATGCCATTGACCAATCCTTATCCAGGCCCTCACAGTGTTATTATAATGGACAATTGCAGTATTCATCACTCTGAAGAGGTCCGAGAGCTTATTGAAGATCGAAGTTGTATGTACAATCCAGTGCTGCATATCATTATTATCTACTAATTCTCCATCTAGTGTGCAAGCTGGTTTTTCTCCCTCCATACTCTCCGGATCTTAATCCTATTGAACAAGCTTTTTCAGCAATAAAGGCCTTCCTTCGACGGAACTGGAAAGATATCACTCTGAGTATCATTGACCGAGCTTGCAGAATAATCACACCTTTGAAAGCTTGGGGTTTCTTTCATGCATCAGGATATGTAGTATAATTCATTGGTAGCCATTGAGGGCATTATATATACAGTTATAATCCTATATATGATACAATTATATGCAAACATGTCAAGAATATCATGGAAAGTGGATGTAATAAGCAACAGAGGCAAGAAAGACATAGTCTATAGTTCCTCAAGTTCAGACTCACCATCAATGACTGGTACAAAATTTTCTGGAACAGGAATCATTGAATGTGCAAGTTCAGAGAAGTAAAACCAACTATAAGAAAGATCAAGTTTTTCACCATCATCTAACCGTCGCATTGATCTTCCTGAAGTGGAAAAGTGCCCACCATTGATCCATCTCTTCTCGAAACGTGTCCGATTTTGATGCTGGTCTGGTTGAGCCAATGGGGCAAGTGGTTGTTTTCGTTTTGCCTCAGGTCCATTGAACCAGATTGGTGCTGCGCGCTTCAAACACATGGCATCTCCATGTTTTATACCAAGATCTCTCAAGTCCTTGTCCTCTACACATTCAAGAATATCAGGTCCATACCCTTTATTCTCGAGTGCGAACAGGTGATATGTTGCATTTTTGACCCCAGCATCAGATTCGGCATACTCGAGAAAACGGCGGAGTTTGGTTGGAGTATTTTTAGCAGGGCTCAACAGTGGGGCCAACGAGGATGAAGAAGGTATAGGAGATTGCATGGGACGAGGTGGAATAATCATGGACATAATTGTGGCAAAATGCGCCAAGTTTGACTTTTCACCTGGGTTTACAGCTGCAGGTGCGGGTTGATGATGATGTGCAGAAGATGAACGGAGAGTACCAAATGGTTGTATAGATGACTGTCGATTTGCTGCACCAAAATTTGGGCTGTCATCATTTGATGGTGGCCTGAACTTATCAGCTAAACCACTATACTATATCAATGTCAGGTCAAAGCAATTAGCAAAGGTAAGTATCACATACTATAGCTCTGGTCCATTCATCTATGGCATTCGGTGAGAGAGCAAACTTTTTGGCTGTTGTAGGATCAATATATGTATATGTCAGATCGTAGTCATTTCCATGTTGTTTTTCCAGTATAATTCTCATGCGGGCAAGTTCCTGTTCCATCGGGCTCATCGAACTATCATCCTATCAACCAAGTTAGTATAATGTACAAAGTGGATTGAGATGAATACATACATCATCAAACTCATCGCCGTTTTCATCATTATCACTTCCTGCTGAGTTGCGCATCAACTATTTATTTACTCAGCGAGCGCACAAAATGCATACCATCAATCAGTTGGACATACCTTTCTGCATGATTCTAGTATTTCCTTTCCATCAATCCACACGAAGACTGTGGCATTTGTCTTACTCTCGATGATCTTTGCAGCTTGAGCGATGTACTCTAAAGTGCTCTCGACATCTGAACCTTGACCTTTCCTAAAGATGATATCAAAACCCCAAAATGGAATGAATGCAAGGGCAACATATGTCTTTTTGGGTGGGATTGCCATCTTCATACAGAACGGCCTCTTTTTAGTTGCTTTGTATTGTGTCAGTCCCATTGTTGTGAGAAGGGTGTTCATCAGCAAGATATGGTTATCCTCATTTGCTATAAATGCGAACTGGATTGACTTTGTTTTCAGTGTGCCAGTATCTTTT